TGTACACACACACAAAAATAAAACAAATAAGCATGCAAGAAATAAAAATGTAAGGAAATAAGGGATGCAAAAATTTGTTTTTTATTTATTTATTTATTTATTTATTTTATAGGAAAGTATGTACAATGAAACAAAATGCAAGAAAAATAAAGAAATAAAAATGAAAATGAACATGTATGAAACAAGAGATAAATGACACAATGTGTCATGTGGGTGCTAAGTTTAATGTCTTTAGGAAGACGAAATACTACATTGAAAAACTGCTTTTTTTTATTATTTTTTATTTTTTTATTTTTTAGAAATTAAAAATTAAAAATTAAAGTTAAAAAAATATTTTTGGATTTTTTTGGAAATAAGATAAAAGGAAATAAAATAAAATAAAAGAAAAGAAAAATATTTTTGGGATTTTTTTTTTTTTTAAAAAAGTTTGAAATAAAAATAAATCTTGAAAGTAAAAATGAAAATAAAATAAAATAAAAATCTTTTTAGAATTTTCGAAAATAAAATAAAATAAACAAAAATATTTTTGTATTTTTAACAAATTTAAATTTTTTTTTTTTTTTTATAAGAGAAGAGAGTAAATAAAATAAAAGAAATAACAAAAGTTAAAGAAGATGAAAAATAAAATAAAATAAAAATAGAAAGAAGAAAAAGTCAAAAATTCACAAGGGCAAAGCTGTGATCGATTTATGCTCACACGATGGGATAGAGAGTATGAAATTTGCAGTGCTTTAAAATTTTTTCTAAGTATGGAATCTCAAGATCGATTCAATAATGAAGTTGGATTGATTGAAGAACTTTAGATCGATTTTGGAATGTTTTCGATCAGTCTAACAGAGAGCTGAAATATGCAGGTTGATGCGGGCTCAAAATTTTTCTAAGTGTTGAAACTACAGATCGATCGAACTTGATGTTTGGATCGATCGAAGGTCTTCTGATCGATCTAACTGAGAATTGAGATCTGAAGATTTTCTTGGATCGAGGAGACAGAGAGTGGTTTGGATGCAGGTTTGATGCAGGTATGAAGTTCGATCGATCGAACTCTCATTTGAGATCAATCAAACTTATGCAAAATGCTCAATTTTCAATATGAAAGTGCAGAAAACCTTATGCTAAGCCCCAATGATGATAACAAAAATAGAGATTGAAAAATGGATAGAAGAATGTACACAAAAATAAAAATAATAAAAAGAAATAATAAAAAGAAATAGGAGAGGAATAGAGTTAAAAACTCTACGAATACTAGTGTTTAACGTTTCTAGCAAGACGTTGGGCCAACTCACTAATCAAAAGAATCTTAAACCGGATATGAAACATCCTTATTGATCATCTTTTCACTTTTTTCATTTAATGTCCCACTTATGATAATGAAATCATCCTCCAAAAGAATAACTTGAAAAGAAATAAAAGAGATGATATTGTTCCTTTCATCCACGGTCTTGAAAGCAAAATCAATCATAGTTAGCCTTGCCTCAATTTTGTGCTCTTAAAGTGTATTCAAAGAATCACTTCCTTTGTGAATTGGCAAGTCAATGTCTTTCAAAGACTCATTTGGAATATCAAGGAATACCTTCTCTTCATCCTTTTTCTCCTCCTCAAAAATCACCATCTCCTCACCTTCCAAATTAGGTAAGGAGTCCATTAGAGAATTCACTTCATTTTTGGAGCTCTCAAAGTCAAAACCACAATTTTTATATATTTCAAAAAGGCATGTCTCAAGAGGGTCTTTGGAGATAATAGAAGGAAGGCCCTCTTCAACAAGTTCCTCATCCTTCTCTCATACCTCAAGTGTGGTCAACGTCTCCTCACTCTCTAGAGTAGCAATGTCCGAGATAAAATATCATAATCAAAACAAGGAAAGTCTTCATTAATCATGTTATGGTCTATTGGATTAGCCACTAACTCACTTGTCACTTCTTCCTCTATACAAGATAGAGTGCTAGGTATTAGCTCACTTGCTACTTCTTCCTCTTCACTCACATCATCCTCATCTATATACATTGAAGTTCTTGCCATTTTTTTATTTGCCTCTTCCTCCGCCTCTTGATGAGAAAGAGTACTTGCAATTTGCTCAATTTGAGTTTCAAGCTTGGCTAAAATTTGAGAATGTGAATTAATAAGTGGAGTTTGTGAAATATGCACATCAAGTAAAGCTAACACTTTTTCTTCAAATCCGGGTGAATACCTAGAAGGTGGTGGAGTTGGTTTATCATAAAATGGTGGGGGAGAGTAATAGTCATAAGAAGAATTAAATGAGTGATCAAGTCCATAATAAGATGATGCATGAAATGATTGGATTCAATCTCATAAGGATTAGAATATGATGGAGGGGCATAAGGTGGAGGGATGTAATTTCCCCCCAAACTTGGATCAAACAATTCCTCTATTCACAATTAAAACCCAAATGCAACTAATAATGGCCTTAACAAGGGCCTATGCTTGGGCAAAGATAAAGTAATATAATAAGCCTCAACAAGGGCTATCACAAGCATGCAAAAAAGTGAAACAATTAAAATACAAGAGTTCCAAGAATTGCTCACAACGGTCTTTAAGCAACTTCAAATTTTAATATTAGCTTTAAGCTCCAATTATTGCTTCAAGTTCCAAAGTTTGCCTTCCTTGTAGTCAAGTACCTAATTGAACAAATAATAATAAGAACAAGAGAAAAGAATATACAATGAAAAATAAAATAAAAATAGAAGCAATCAAATGAACACTATTGTCTAGTCTAATTCCAACAAAACCGTTAATCCCCGGCAACGGCGCCAAAATTTGACGAGGCCGCTTGATATACGCCAAAATAATGTAGTGAATGTGCGATTTAAGAAAAGCCTTTTAGGTCAAGTTTAAATTTATAAAAATCACTACCAACACTACTACTAACGTAGCAAGAGTGAGTAGGGATCGTCCCAAGGGATTATACATGTTGGAATTTAACTTAAACTCTAGCGTATCACAAGATTGCAAAAGATAGAGAATGGTTGATTACTCTAGAAAGCAATTAGTTAAAATGAAAGTGAAATAAAACTAATTAGAGATAGGGATTTAAGAGATATGAAAAGAGGACTTAGGGTGTTGGAATCGCCACTAAACTCGTGCAATTAACCACTTGCTTTCCATTAATGGGGAATACATTGTTGTGAACAAAATGCGACTACCAATTGCAATATTAAGCATGGACCATCTAATTTATGTATGAATTGTCTACCTAAATTAAGTGTAGCACAACCCATCAATTTTAAGCATGACCCATCTAAGTAGCAGCAATTGTAGCACGCATCAATCTAGAGAATTTTGCAATAATAAGTCATGGAATATCTAAGCAAGCATAGATTGTCTACCTACCTACAAGCATGAATTAAATTGTAGAACAACCCATCAAGTATAAGTATAAACTATCAAACCCATTCAATGAAAACCCATGCTTAGCCATCACTAGATAGACATGCAACCAACATAGAGAATCTAGTGTAGAGATCAATTCCCCAAATAATCACACATAAGACAACATGTAATTAAAATAGAGAATCATAAGGAAGAATTAAATCAACAATAACAAGGCTAGAGCACTAATCACAACAATATATATATAAATCCCCAAAAATAGAAATACAAGGGTTTAGATTACACAAGACTTAGGGCTCATCCAAGCCCTAAGTATAGATCTAGCCAATTATGGAGGAGGTGGATGTGGTCATGGAATCAAGCTCCAAATATGGCTCTATCTTCTTCTTCCTCTTCTTCTTCTTCTTCTTTGAAGCTCTAGAGATGGAGAGAGAGAGTGGTCTAGAGATGGATCTTGAGATGTGCCTCCACTTCCCCCTTTTCTTCTAACCCTAATCTCTAACTTTCCTAGAGAGAGAAATAAAAATTACAATGTAAAAATAAAATGATAAAAAACTCTTTACAAAATGGGTCACTTCCCTTTATATAGAAAGTCCTTTTTTTAGTCACTAAGTCAAGAATATAGCTCCAAAAATATCTAATCCCGTACTATGTGGTAGGTGGACTTTTGGGCTCGCATGGGAATAAGACAGCTTGTTGCCAGTAAAAGTTCGATCGATCAGAGAAAAAGTTCGATTGATCAGAGAAAGTTCGATCGATCCAACTTTGATTTTCGATTGATCCAACTTTGATCGATCTCAGAAAATGTTGGATCGATCCAACTTGGCAGTTTTTCAGTATCAGCCTCTTTTTGCTCCAAATCATCACTAAGACTTAGTTTGACTCCAAAAAGGCCTTAAAAAACCAGTTTTAGCTCATTTTAACATTATTGACCTGATATAGACAAAAACACAAATAAGTACTAAAACGGGAAAATAAGATAGATAAAGGTCCTATAACACTAAAACTTAAGGGGTTTAAAAGCGCACTTTTCAGCGCTCATCAGTATTTCTATTGTGTGATTGTTTGCTTAGTGTTTAAAATCAATAAGTATTATTTAATTTGCCTTTCAATGTAAAAGGTCGAAAGTTAGTCTTATAGTGAGTTGAGTTTCTTGTGCCAATTTTGTTTTAGACAAACAAAAAGAACAAGTTACCCCTTCTAGATCTTTCTAGTGGAGACAATTTCAAACCACTTTTAATATTGCACCACTCTCACCATTATAATTGGGAATATATATATCTTTGGGATATTTTGTGAATAAAATTTTATTCCCCCCAATTTTTTTTTTTTTCAAAACACCAATTCATGGCTCCAAAAAAAAAGTGAGTTCTAAAACAAATATAATTTTCCCCCTGAAACTTGTAAGAACTTTTACTTGAACATCTTGTTGAAGTCTAAATCTTTTTGAATAAAAATATAAGTTTGTCATATTTATTGTATTATCTCAATACTCCATTTACACATCTTGTTTGGACAAAACTATCTATCCTAAAGCACTCTTTTACATTGTGGGTGGCAATCCAGCAGAAACTACCTACATTGAATAGAAGTTGTACCTCCCACATTAACTCCACTCTTTACTGTCTTTGCAATACTGAACCGGAATCCCACAGTCACTTGTTCTTTCAGTGCCAATTTGTCAAGCCCTTGTGGGCATTTCTTCAAGCACGCTGCGGCTTTCATATTCAACCATCCTCATGGCCAGAGCTGATCAATTGGGCAGCACATCACTGGAAGGGAAACTCGAATTACAATAGTCACTCCATTTCCAAACTGAGTTTGGCATCCCTAGTGTACCATATCTGGATTGAGCGCAACAGAAGGATCTTCCAAAAGAAATTCAACACAGCAAACTCAATTCTTCATCAAGTTCTGGAAACAGTGAGAACCAAGATTCTAACCTCAACAATCTCAGATTCACTCAACACTTCAAGAATTGCTACAGAATGGGGTGTTCCAGCTTCTGTAATTCACCCTCCACGAAAGCCACCAGATGATGCAACATGAATTGCTTTGCAACTACACTAGAACTAGATTCCTTTTTAACCGGATTTGGGGGTTGATCATAATGGTTTTACCATCTATTTTGAATTGTGTTTGTGTTCACTTTGGGCCTATTTTGGGCCGTTGAATTGTGTTTGTGTTTACTTTGGGCCTGCTTTGGGCTGTTGTTTGGGCTTCCCATGCTCAATTGTACATTGCATGTATTGGTTAGCTATTGCTATCCTCTCTTTCTTTCTATAAAATTTATCATTTTACCCTTCAAAAAAAAAAAAAAATCTAGAATTGCAGGTAAATCTTCCTTCAACGAGTCCTGAGAGCATCTTAACTAAAATAAAAGGTCCTGAGAGCATTGGGAAAAATGAAAAACTTAATTTTAATGGTACCAAGTCGATAAAAATGACAACAGCATTTTTTAATTGATAGTATATAAACTAATACTTTTAGTTGTCGGTTAATGTTAAATGACAAATTTTATTGAGTTGTCAATTAATGTTAAATGACAAATTGGTACATTTTTTTTTTTTTTCTTTTTTCAAAATATATATATTTTTAATTCTATAAATTGAATCAGTTACTAAAGAAATTAATTACTTAACAATATTTTCTTCTACCACTTCTCTTTTTAAATGTAACTTGTCATTTTATTTTCTCTATATTTTATCTCTCATGTTATTATTTTTTTTATCTCAATTTATTTAGATTGGATTTTTCTCATTTTTTATATAATTTTTCAAAATATATACTAAAAAGCTACTATTATAAAAAATTATATTATTACAATTAACTTATAAATTAATTGTTCAAAATTTTACTACGTATTACACAATCCTAGTTTGGCCCCCAATTCTAAATTTCTGGCTCCTCACCCTGTGTGTATATACTTGCCAGCATGTTAAAAATTTGGTCCACTAAAAGGTATTGGACCACATAAGGGTGAGTAGTTTCACCCTATTCACTGGTGAGTAACTAAGTATTGTCCTTACTATATGGATAATGCTTAGCTACTTACTGGTGAGTAGCTAAGCATTGTCCTTAATATATTTGAGGGATAACATTTAATATTAACCAATTCGATTCTCTTCTCTCTCTCTCTATCTCATATATATATATATATATATATATATATATATTCAGCAGACTCCATTGTAACTAGTTTTGGTGATGTAAAATTAACCAGATACTTGGGTAGTGAACCAGTTTTTAATTGACCAAGTATTTATTCAGTACTCTCTATTTTATTGCCTGAATTTTTTTTAAAGGGCTCCAAAACATAGTGTGTGTATATATATAATATTATATATAAGTATACACAAGCACAAACTCATTCTAGACATGCATGGTTGTTTTATTTTTAAGATTGTTATACTTATACCTACAAGCACAAACTCATTCTAGACATGCATGGTTGTAAATATACCATACTAGCTTCAATATATAATAGACCTACAAGCCAGCCATACAGAAGCACAAACTCATGCTAGAAGCATGGTCGTTTTATTTTCGGATAGTATTAATACATATGCTTCAATATAGTGAAACTCACATGCATATGCCATATATATATATATATAGCTTTTGATTTGATTTCACCTTATTCCAAGATCAACATTTTCTCAGAAGTTCTATTAATTTTTACCATCATCATTGGGTGGTTGGTCAACCTTGGGTAGCTGGACAATCTTGTAATGATTTTTAAACTCTGTGGACGTTCCAGAATTTCCATTATAGTTGGCATATCTCTTCAGATCATCGTCATCGATACCAGCTGATTCAGCTTCACTGCTTGTTTTATCATCAGCACCGATGTTGGCTTTCCGACCAAGATTTGTTTCACTTGTCAGATGACGGTCCTCCAAAGCGAGTCTCTCTGAATTTGCTCCCAAAGCTCCAAAGATCAGCATAAATGCCATGATAAATACAAGTAAGGTCTTCATGATCAGCTTACCCTGAAAAGAAAGCTCTCTCAGTTAATCCTGTAAAACATTTCATTAGAACTATATGCATACTATATATCAACAGACATTAGCCCAGATGATATGATCTCTCCTCCTCTTACAAGGTTGAGTGTTCGAGACAATATTATTGATGTGTGTGCATTTGTTTAAACTTTCGAACAGGAAAAAAAAAAAAAAAAATGCAGTAATACTAAAGAGGTTTTAAGAAGTGGAAAAACAAATCCAAATGAACTCTAAATTTATAGAATATAATACACGTACCACGCTTTTTGCTCCAATGTAATATATATGTAGAATGAAAAAAATTGAATACCGGGGTGACATTATATAGGCAAATTTAGTAAACTGTATTTGATTTTTTTTGTTGGTAAATACTGTATTTTAGTGGGACGTAGGGTAAGATAATTTGTGTGCACTAAGAAAAGAACAATGCAGACAATGTGGGATGATCTACTCACGCAAGACTCAGCACCATTGGGAGAGCCATTAAAGAAGTAATTATGATTAGTGTTGATAATTAAGGAGCATGCATGTAGTGCTGACTTTTCAATTATTTATTGGTTAAAACTTGGACCATTACCATGTTAGTGTTCAACAATGGGTGACACTGCAATGAAGTTGACTTTTCGGTGTTTGAAATAACTAAAAAAAGAGTATTGCTACTTAAGTCACGTAAATCAGGACAAGGATCACCTCCAGTTACACAGTAATTATTTTTTTTATTTTTTTTAAAGTAAAAATACATTCCAACATTTTCGTAAGGTACATCCAAACATTTTCTTACTGTGCATCCAAATATTTTCTACTATGCATCCCAAATATGGATGACGTGGCCATTTCTGGACCACTCATTTCAAAATGGAGTAAATGGCACATTATTTGTCTGGAGGTGATTTTCACCCCGTAAAGCGGATGAAGGAGTGAAAGTGCAAAAGTTGTAAAATTTAAGTCATACAGAGTAGAAACGGTAACGAAATCGTGCGTGGAACACAAGAGCAGGAGCAGGAGTAGAGCATGAGAGCCAAGAACGGATATAAAAAAAAATATGCGAGGGGGCAATTGTATAAGTATATATATCAAAATGAAAAAAATAGCAAAACATAATGTTAATAAAAAAAATTTTGGTGGAGCCAATTGCCCCCACTGAGAAACTCTTACATTCGTCCCTGATTAAATGAATTGTGTGACTTAGAGTGCTACTTCAACTCAAAAATTTTGTCCATCGAAAATGGTTGATTGGCAAGATCACTGAAGGAAGTGGGATCCCCACATGGTGACACGGATTTCCGTTAGAATCTTCCTCTTTAAAAACATTTTCCTTTAAGAAATTATGATGAAATGAGTAAATTAAGTATAAATTCTTGATTATCACCGAAGAATTGTTTTATATAAAAATAATTTCAGAAAGTGCTTGAAATATTATATATCTATGTGAGTTCTTTGGTGGAAGATGAGTCTTGCCACTCATTTAGTGGGGCAATGCCGTGGCACTGTCATTATAAAGTAATTTTTCTTTTGCACTTCGCTCTTTTCAGTCTTGATGTTAATTTATTCTATATGTTCAAAGTGGTCTAAAGTCCTTTCTTGGTTAAAAAATATTTGGGATTTCTTTATATTATAGAATTCCTTCTATAACTGAATGCCAATCCTTTTTGTTTGATATCCAATTCAATACTTAATTTTAAACGAATTTTATAATCTCGATACCAATAATTGTAGAAAAATAAACTTAACAATTTAGAATACTAGTTAAGGAAAAAAAATAAGAAAAGGAAAAATTAAAAAATAAAATTGAATCGCTTAAAAAAAATAAAAATAAAGGTTAGAGGTTAGAGATTTTTGTCAACGAATGAAATTGTTTAAATGATACGTAACATAAAAAGTGGATAGTGTCACTGTTGTTGAAATTTAGGTAGGTGGATAGTTGTATGAAAGGAGGACTAGAACACTTGGTAGACAAAAAAAAAATTGCTTTATTGCCCGGGTCAATTAATTATTGAGTTAAAATTTCTCATCACGTATAATCGCGAGGCCATGGTTGGAGTGTTTGGTGAACTTGGAATTGTTTAAATGATACTTAACATACCAGAATTGACAAGAAATAAGCGTCACTTTGTTTTTTTGGGACTCGAATTCCCATCATACATTTTAAAAAGTAAAAGAAATGTTATTAGATCACAAAGTCTTTGATAGAAGTAGAACTTTACTTTACCTTGGTGAGTTGATTATTGAGTTACACTTTTTAGTATTTTTTTCTTTCTAAATATTTGTATACATATTTTGACATGCCATTTTTCTAAAAAATTGTATCTATTGGTCCTAATAAGTACCAAGTGGTTTGCCTCTTTAATATCAAAACTTAGTATTTCAGAGTTGTCAAGGGCTTATATGTTCACCATTGTTGTGCACAGTGGCTTATATCACATCATAGGGGTACTGTAGTCTTGTACCAACTTGTGATACAATTACACAATGGTTTAAGATAGTACATTGCATCCATTAAGTGTGATAAGGCTTATTTGCTGTGTAATTTGAGGTTCAAGACATGAAAATTAGCTATAGGAACTTTCAGGGGCATTATAGTCATTTTACAGTTGTATTATATGTTTATACCTATGTTTAGATAGCTGCATTGCATTAAACAATTGTGATTTAGCCTGCATTGTGAATTATACAGTCTCAGCAATATGTTTGGGTTGAGAATGACAAGTGGTTGTTACAAGGGTATTTTGGTCTTTCTATTTGAAACTCAGGTATGTGACATGTTGTTGTGGTCCTAGAGTGAAAGTGTATATACC